AAGTCGACTTCTAGTCGACCTCTAAAAATGGCGGAATGTCGACTAAAAATCGACTTCTAAATAGTCGATTTATAAAAGTCAATTTTCCGTCGACTTTTATAAGTCGACTTCTAAAAATGGCGGAAAGTCGACTAAAAGTCGACTTCTAAATAGTCGACTATAAAAAGACGGAAAGCAGTCAAGCGGCGCGTCATCAATATGGCGGCGAATCTCGAGGAAGCTGGAGGAGAAAATTAATGTTTACGCGAGTGCAAGGAATACATGCCGCGAGACAGGACACGATAAGACGTCGAAAAGCGCCGCGTTATCAACCACCGCCACGAAACGTCGTCGTCGTCGTCATCATTGTCTTCCCGTTGACTTCCTCGATTAGATCAGAATACTGGAATTTGACTGAATATGTATGTTGCAATATGTTTGAGACGGTTGTCTACATTGTCTACAACAAGAATTGTTACAGAATGCCGTTACCAACCGACATGGAAGCGAAATTGCTGCGCCAGATAGTTCTTGCAGGTATGGCGGATCTAAAAGAGGATCAGGATAAGGCCAAGTGGAAATATGCTTTAGAGGTTAGGTATGGTGTGTTATTAATTATCATCGATAATTAAGACCTATTGAATGCGATCTCTCCATTCTGAACCATCTTTCAGAACACCATCAGAAATGGAGGAACCTGTGTTCATGCATTCTTCGTGCGTTCTACGGAAAATCAGTCCGGATTAGGTGGTTTATAAAGAGGTGTACGAAACGAATAAGATGTATGCGAGGTGTCACGACAATAGAACCCGAATGATTGCCGAAATTCGCTTCCACGCTATGCCATCTTAGTGAACCATTGGTTGATCCACCGCCAAGGTATTTTTATCACAATTGTTGCTTTATAATGTTTTTCCTATTTATTTATAAAGATATTAATTTTCATTATGATCGAATATTATTCTCATTTATAGATATAATCAAGGAACCGGGAAGATCATTTGCCGCGTGTCTGGTACATTTGGAAAGGCCGGATGGGGACTACCATCGATGGATATAGAGCATCTGTGGACGGTGTAAAGTGGTTCGCGTATTTCTTTTTGGAGGGTCAAGTGTACCCTAAGCTGAAACGATTTGTTCCGTCGTTGCTGACGACACCTGGGAGCATCACCAAGTCATGGGCCAGGTAAATCGTTATTCTATCTCCTTTCGATTTCACGTTGATTCATCGAATAGATTACATCAATTCAATACGATTTTTTCAGGTTTATACCACACACTCAAGCAATAGTACAAACGTTGCAGTCGCAGGGAGTCGTGTCCAAATACAAACTGCTAGAAATCTGGGGTTTGGATGAAAAATGTGAAATTTTAATTTATAAAATAATATTTAGATATTATCATCGAGTAGACTTCTATACAATACTAGACCGCTGACAGGCATCTCGGCCGTGATGCTTGCCGCCATGTTGATTTTAGTAAAGATTTGCTATACTATAGATTCTATACAAGTGGTTTTATACAAGATTTCTATACAATAGTCTGGCATATACAGAATGTCCAAAAGAAAGGGTTTAATACTACAGGAGTAGTGGTTCGATTTCGGCATTCAAGTAGCTACACGTTGAAGGCATGACTTACAAACTTATTGATAACATGTACCAATATTTAACACAAAAACATTCGCCTGCTTTGTTATGTACTGTAATAACGAATGCAGATAAACGCACATCATGAGCAACTGAACACCCGATAGTGACTTATTGTTAATTCAATATGGCCGCACCCTTCACTAACACTTGCACCTCGCACTCGCATCAGCTTTTCGGCAGTGCGTCCATAGATGTTAATGGTCTAGTATAAAAGTCTGTGGATATTATATATTTATAATTTTAGTTCTGTTGTCAGCTTACAAGAAGTGGCTGCCGGAATCCGCGCACGCAGAAGTGGCACAGATATGACGGCACACAATGGCCGCCTTTGTAATTAAGAATAAAACATTAGGATTGTAATTATACAGTTTTTTAGATAATTAAATTATTTTATATATGAAAAAAAAATCGAAATGCATCAGTTTTAGCCTTCCAGCAAAGGATCGATTGTGTATCTTGAAATAATGAGGTAAAAATTACAAAAGTGAGAAAATTCATTAGCGTATCTACGCTTTTATTTATCAGAATCTAATAAAATCTGTTAACTTTTGTCATTTTCACCTCATTTTAAGATACACAACCGACCTCCAGACGTACGCGGCGGCGGTTTATTTTATCGACTTTAAAAGTTGGCGGGAAGTCGACTTTCCGTCATGACGGGAAGTCGACTTGAAGTCGACTTCTACCGAAACTGACTTGGCAGAAAGTCGACTTTTTTAAGGACGAAAGTTGACTTGAAGTCGGCGAATGTCTCAAAAAACGCCGACTAAAAGTCGACTTTCCGTCATGACAAGAAGTCGACTTCCCGTCATGACGAAAAGTCGACTTCCCGTCATGACGGAAAGTCGACTTTTAGTCGGCGTTTTTTGAGACATTCGCCGACTTCAAGTCGACTTCAAGTCGACTTTCGTCTTTAAAAAAGTCGACTTTCTGCCAAGTCAGTATCGGTAGAAGCCGACTTCAAGTCGACTTAAAGTCGACTTTTTGCTCTTAGGGAACTTCGTCGTAAAAGAGCGTTTACACGGTATTTAACGTTAGTATATTTATATTATAGTTATAATATCGATGTTATATAACTTCGGCGTAAATCGGGCCGTGTAAACGTAGTAATTGTTGAGTGTGCAAACCATTTCATGGGTTTTGGCTTGACAAGCAGCGAGGGAACCTCGTAAACTCGAAAATTCTGATTTTAATGAAACTTTTCACACATGTAGGGAGGGTTTATTGCTGCCCAAAAACGGTTCTAAGGGGTGAAACTACCCCTTATATGTATATATAAAGGCGGGCTTTTACTTTTCTTGATATCTCGAAATAAAAATTGTGCAACTAGAAACTTGCAAATTATAAATTTTGAACATTATACTTCCTCACAATTTTCAAGTATGCAAATTATAAATTTGCACGTTGCTTGATCAACATTTTATTTTGCTCGACTCATAAAGCTTTCTCTTATGAGGAAGCCTGTTTTTTTTTATGCATAATTATTAGTAGATATTTATTAAATTGGCTTTCTTATAGAAGAAGCTTTATGAGCGAAATAAAATGTTGATTAAGCAACGTGCAAATTTATAATTTGCACACTTAAAAACTATGAGGAAGCAATGTGCAAGTTTCTACTTGCACACTTTTTTTATTGTGATAAGCTTTATTGCGACTAATATCTGTTATACTAATATCTATTATACTATTACAAAAATCAATTAAATAATTAATGTTTTTACTGAAATGATTCCTACTAATTGCAGATATTTCTTAATTTTTCCATTTTGTTCCATTTTTTAATTTATATATTAGTTTTTTATTTCTACTTTAAAATAATTTTTGAAATATTTAAAAATTAAAATTATATAAATTAAAGTTAATACTATAAAAAAAATTATAGTATCTTACCTAATGTTTTTTTTAAATATGTAAATATATAATATTTAAAAAAAAAAGAAAAGTTTATTTTAAACATATGTAAAGGAGACCGGGGCAAAGTCGTCACCAGGGCGGAGTCATTATTGCAATTATCTCGAAATCTGTGTGTTGTGTAAACTCGCCATTAATACTGTAAACGCGGCTTATGGTGTCCACGTAACCAACGGAGTTTAGTGAAGTTATATGTGCCATGTTGTGATTCTTATTGAGGCAAACGTGTTTTTGGAAGTCGTAAAATTTTTTGCGGGTCGAAAACTTGTAATATCTTAAATATTATTGTGTCTCCGAATCTCAAAGTAAGTGATTCTAAAGAGTAATGCATGCTGAACACGAATTCAGTAAAATTTTTTTATTTTTTCATTGATTTCTAATATTTTATAAGCGACCAAACTTGAAACTTGTGTCCGGGGCGAAGTCGTCACCAAGCCATATCATGGAGGCTTCTGGCGAAAATCAAAGTCATCAAAGAAGCAGCAGTGCTCCGATTCCGGCGAGAACTTGGATAATATGTGCTGCGTGTGCTCAGAGATGACAGAATAGAGCTGACGAGAAACGTCAGCGTAGAGCCCAACGCAAGCGTAGGGCACATAAAGTGAGTGCGCTTTTTCTTGTAATTATTTTCTGCCATCGTGTTTTTAATTAATGTTTCCATTTTTTTATTAAAAAATAATTAATGAAATGTATCCTATTATTTTTTATGATCGGAATTATGAATTTTTATTTAAAATTTAGTTCGAGAATGGAGTGATGACTCCGCCCCGGCAATTTTGACATTTCAATTTTTGCATCTTTGTCGTTTTCACTCTATACCAGTTGAACAAAGCGACTTAGACCAAAAATGTCCTTATAAATTTTGTAGCCAATGGTTCACTCTTTACAACGGTATACCACATTTTACTAAAATTATTTGTTTTGTTGTTAAAAATCGGTATAGAAGAAATAGTCACGACTTCCCTCAGTCTCCCCTACAGTATTTTAAAGTACATATAGATACTTTCTATTAAATTAATATAAAAATTCACTCCAATAAAAACTGATTTGGCGCAATTTTTCGAATTTTATTATATTTTTAGGTCTTTTTTTTCTACCCCTATTTCATATATAATTCTTTAATATTTGGTTGATTAGTTCTTGAGCTATAACCGTTTGAAATTTCGTGGAATCCGTACATACATAAGCAAAATGTGCAAGTTTTACATTTGCGTATTTTTTTATTATATTGGCAATTTTTTTCTAATTCTATTATATTCTTCAGTCTTTTCTACCCCTATTTCATACATAATTCTTTAAGATTTGGTTAATCAGTTCTTGGAGTTATAGAAATTTCGGTAAATTTGGCACATACATACACACATACACACATACGGACATTGTTTAAAATTGCGATTTTTCGACGTTTTAGAACATTCTGAACACATTGGCAGCGGCAACTAAAAAAAATTCTTTTTACGAAAATAAAGCTTCTTCTATGAGAAAGAAAAATGTTTAAGATATCAAAAAATGTTTCATATATAAAGTTTTAAGGTGATCCTAAAGCCGTGATCCTAGCCGGTTTTTTTCAGTTTTTTTCTTAGCACTAATCTTTTAATTGGCTTTATAGAAATGCAAAATTCTTGTCTAGAATTAAAGTACGCATCAAAATCTAGGTCATGGTGGTCGAATTTATATGTAGTGGTCGTCACGTATAACAAAAAATATTAATTTTTTTTCGTTTTCGATATAAATTCGACCACCATGACATAGATTTTGATGCGTACTTTAATTCTAGACAAGAATTTTGCATTTCT